CCATTGTTTTGTAACCTGTATTTCTACCACAATTTCAGCCTCTCCATACTGTTCCAGTCATGACGGAAAAAAATTGTAAAGAAATAAAAATTTTGAGAACTAGCATGGTTCACTACTACTAAGCTAGATGGTAACAACACTCATAAACCACTACCACGAGCAGCAAAGGAGGAAAAAAGGGCAACTGTAAAGCAGCTGTTGTTGAAGTACCTGCTGTATTTCAGCACCCTTCAGTAGATGAAGTCTTTGGGATTCCATCCTAACAGCACCACCTCCTGGTGAATGCTTTAAAAAAATCCCCAACCAAACCTCTGCCAAACAAATTTTTACATAATGCCCAGTATACCAGGTCACATTTTAATTCTCTCCTCCTCCCTGCCCTCCACCCTCCAATTCCAAGGATGCCATTCCAACTCAGAGTACATCTCTCATCCCACTAAACTGCAGTGATTACAATCCTTACTAACACGTGTTTGTTGTCATTTGACACCTGCACTCCAGAAATTTTGGCACAGACTTGTTGTGAAGCACTGCAGCGGTTCCAAACCACTGCTCTGGCAAGAAAGTACTGAAGTTGCTGCTCTTGTGTTTCTTACTGTTATTATAACACAAGCTCATTGTTTTCACTTTGTTACAATCAAATGACAGAATGAGTTACTGCTGCTTTCTCACAGTCATAGCTGCTTCAAGCCTCAAACAAGCACGATCCAGCTTTACATGGGGCAAGATACATTATCACCTTAGTGAGGCTTAAAAATCGAAATGTTACTGAATGTTGCACAGAAGTTATGGAAATTGGCTCCATTAAAGCACGGATACCAGTAGGTAATGACCTTTCATGGAACTGAGCCAGCAGAATGAAAAGTTCAAAGAGCAAGAGCTCTTGAATACTGAGAGGTAAACACAGGTCAGTGAGAGATAAGTGACTTTGCATATAGCAGCATATAAGAGTGACTTGGTCAGCAAATGACATCAGCTGTACACACTTTCATTGTTTCTCTTCATATTGCCGAGTCAGACTGTCAGGGACAACTTTCTGGCACAGAGTAATCATCAGCCATCATCAGTATTCATTTGGAAAGTGGACAAAATTAGCTACTTTTCAAAGCTTTACCGTACCAGCTGCTTCTGAAGAAAGTCCAAGAGGAACTGTTGTGTGAGGCAGATCTTCCCAATGCTTATGTTTTATACTTGCAGAGACAGAGATACAGTCTATAAACTTACCCCACACAGGTAGGAAAAAAGAAAACATATCAAACACACACAAACAAAACATGGCAAAAGCAAACATCTTGTTCCAACGAACCATGACACTCGCAGGCAAGGAGACACAGAGCTGTAGTTATTGGAAGAGAGGTTCAGTTCCTTCATTTGCCTCATAAGCAATGCTGTTTAGCTTCAGAAGTCGAAAAGGCAAGAACTGCTAATTAAAAGCTCCTGCTATTTAACCGTGTCTGTTTTTCTAGCTGCTGCAGATCCTGTCGTGTTACCTGAAAGTTTGGGAAGGGGAAGCTGGTGTGATGAACATGACACGATCCACGAACGTTTAGATATTGTTGAAGAGGTAAGAGGGGTTGTGCTGGCTCCTGAACCTTGGCAGACCTCTGCCCTATTCTTCTGACCAAAGAAAAAGAATGATATTTCTAGACAGCATCTCTTCATTACCTTATTCTAGTCAATTTTTTTTCAGATGTCATAGCTTGTAACTATCTATAAAGCCATTATGTCTAGAAACATATAGTCTTGACAATTCCAAATTGATATTATATATCAGACTTTTCTAAAATGTTTATAACTGTGCCTTTAATCCAACAATCTCAGGCTAGATGTGGTTCTGCAAGTGCCTTCAAGACTGGCAGAGGAGTTTCTGCTCACCCCTGCTGGCACTTAGGAGCTAAATGAATTTTATGGCTGGGATTCTATGAAAGCTGCAAAGTTTTGTGGTTTTTTCCCCTGCCGTCTTAAGCACTCCCAAGATACAAGCTAACTATTCTCAGCTGGGCAGTTGCCAAATTCCATGCCATCAGTTCTCAAAATAGCAATGTTACCTCTCTTCTGCTCTCTCGGCCCTCTTCCTTACACACCCCATCAGCTCCTCTCATCGTCCACACAGATTCTTTTATTGGAGATGATGGTGGCACGGAAATAATAAAGAATAAAAAACAAATTAATGCAAAGCTCCCTCCAAGAATTCAAATGATGGGTTATTCTTCATGCAGGAGTGCTGTAATGTAACTCCTGCAAAACAAAGTGCTAAAATTTGGTGCCACTAGAGGCCAGCAGAACACAACAAATATTTAAAGCTGCAATGCGCAATATAAATTAAACTAGCTGTTAGCATTATGGGACATTGGGTTTACACATTCTTTCCACCTGACCCTTTGACTATCTCCTTTTATCCATTTGTCTCCTTTGTTTCCATCAGAAAGTAATAAAAACAGTGGAGCACCTGGAATCAGAAGTCAAATCACTCCTCAACATCATCAACGAGACAACATCAAACATCCCCATCATTCCAGGAACTCCACTTATAGACATTTTTGATGGTCAGTATCTCACTGAGTATATCCTAAGCTGAAAAAAGTGTTACATATGTTATTACCAAATATGCCATGTTTTCTTCCCCAAGTTGTGAACTCATTCCTTTGTTCAGTTAGGATAGCTGAGGCCTCAGCTGAAATACTGGGTCCAGTTTGAAACACCAGGTTTCAACCACTAAAGAAAGGGCTGGTAGAAAAGGGGACAGGGAGGCGCTGGGGACCACCACCACCAATCAAAGAAAAACCCAATCAAAGAGCTAGATAACATGAGCTACACAGAGAAGCTGTTAAATTGGTTATGTTGAGTCTAAAGAAAATTGAAGTAGCCCCCCAAAATTCCCAAGACTGCCACAACAGCGACAGCTGTTTTCTTCCTCACTGCCAGAGAGAATAAAACAAGGAACAATAGGACAGACTAAGCAATCTTCAAGTCTCTTACACTTTTAAGATGCTGTGATTCTTTACCTTCATGTGTCACAAGATAAAAGGCAGGCAACAAAATAAATTAAAAAAAGTACTGGAGGTATTACCATTTTGATATCTTAAATTCAACTTTGACATGGAAGCCCTTCACACAAAATGTGCTTCTGAATAGATGTTTTTGGAATAAATTAAACCACAACAGAAATCAGTTGGATGAGACTACCTATTCTACACAGCTTCTTATGCTGCTCTGTACTCTTCATTCTCTGCCCAAATATCAACAGTGGATTTAACATGGCAAGACACACTCCTGGTGGAAAATAAACCACTTGTGGAAAGGTATAAGCATCCACAGAAATGTTTATGAAGTCAGTTTTGTCAGTGTTGGGTTTTTTTTGTTCATTTGTGATATCTGTACATGGGCATGCCATAGTGCACTTACATGACAGAAGGTGGGCTCGAAGCAGACAGTAGAGTTTATGTTGGTTTTTAGTTCTTGCAGTTGGCTACACTGATCTGGTCACCATGATTGATATGTCCTCATCAACTTTGTTACCCATTAAAATTTCCAGTTTTCTCTGAGGGGCAATAAATAACTAAGTAATTAAGTTACTCCCCTGCAATGGGAGTATTCCAATAAAAGTGAAAAGAATTCCAGTAAAGTGCAACAGTGAACTTAAAATGGAACTCCTGGGTCAACCCCAGCATATCTGCAGCATATCTATTGTAAGTACTACTCAGATGGGGCTTGCAACAACTGCCAAATGGCTCAAGAATTACAGATTGCATCTTCCTTCTATGATTTCATGAATCAAAGTGACAATTCCCCACTTTAGAGTGGCACGTTTTAAATGAGATTTATCCACAAAGATTGATCCTGATCTCATAACCAAAAATAATTATACCAACTCTTCTTTATACAGATACCAGCTGAGCACTGCAAAGACAGAACACGGCCAAATGTAACAGTGTGGTTGTCATCAACAGTTGCACTTTTGCTCATTTAATAAGCTTGTGTTTCCAGAATTTGTGCAGGGATGAACAATCCTCAGCTGTAGTTTCCCTTCTGTGTTCCTGTGCTTTATAATAAAAAGGTATTTGCTTTTAGACAGTGTTTCAAAGCTTTATATTTTAAATATTTCAACAGCTCTACTTTATCAAAACTGCATTTCTAATACAACATTGTCAGTAAGAAAACAAGATCAGGTGGCGTCTGACTAGAGCACAGCTAACAAACTTGCCTGAATTTAAAAGTTTCCTCCTTCCCTGGCAAAGAAATGAACTCTTGGTATTGGTGCCAACCAATGAAGATACATTTTCAGCTGCAGTTTCCACTCAGGACATGCTCACATTGTCTGACAGAAATGAGTGGATGGAGCAGTCTGGCTTTGCACATAAGTCACGTTGCTGCCATTGACTGAAACAGGAGTCCTGTCAGCACATCCTGGTCAGAATCTGTCATGTGGACACACGGCTACCATATTCTATAATCTCTACACTTGCCACAGTGACAATACAATCCAGAATTAAATGCACGATATCACCATTTTCTTTCAAGACAAACAGCAATAAAACTTCTTCTAGGAAAAAGGACCTGCCTGCCCCTTACAGAATAGAGAGAGTGCATGCCTATGAAATAAGAGGAGTTTGCATGTTCTTGATTAACAAGCAGGCTATTCTCACTGACCTAGTTAGAAAAAACTCTTCCCCTCCTTGTACTTTTTTCCTTTAGATGTTTCTATCTTTGAGAACGACAAGCTGGAGAGATGCCATCGGTGCCAGCAAATAAAAAAAATCAGAGTTCCAGGAATAAGATAAAATACAACATGCAAAAATGCAAATACTGAGCAATAACTACAGATTACATTTATCATGTACAGACAATTGCTCATCAACAGCACACAAATCCCAAACTCTCATCAACACAAGAGTTTCTGAATAATCCTGTAGATTCCAGCAGAGAACTTCTATGGAAAAAGAAAGTTACATAAAGTGAGTCAATCCTCCACAATAAATCAACATGAACACCAAAAAGCATAATCTGCAAAGATTTAGACAGCTTTAATTTCATAATCTCTTCTTACATACATATACTTAAGGCACAATGCAAAACCTTTAAACATTAACCATGGAATCCTTACTGCTGTAAACACTACTACTGCCTCGTGACAGGCTGCCTTCACAAGAATGAAATGTGGAACCTATCTTCCTTGAAAAGAATCAAGGAAAGAAAACAGAACTTGACAAAACTTCTTTAAAACTTCTTTTGTGTCTTAATTAGACACAGAAACTCAAGCTGCTATCTCCACATATCAGGGAGTCAGACAGCCTGAAACCAACTCTGCATACCATATATATAAAACTTGCATTCAAATGGCATGCAATGTTTATACAAAACAACACCTTAAATCATACAACTGTGATTTTTGTTTTATAAAACAAACATTATTTCAGCATGATATAAGCAGAAAAGAAATAATGACCTGTCATTCATGGATTGCTGAGAGTGCTATACAGAATCCTGAGCAGATGGCACATAAGCTTGGTATTTTGGGCGGTTTTGGCATTTATTACCTACTATTTTTGAACTGAAGATATATGCAATATTATCTTTTAAAATGCAATTGCTTTAGAAGAAACAGGTAATTACATATTTACTTTTGAAGAAACAAAGATGCTTTACAGCAAAAACATGAAAAGAGTAGCTTTTTAAAGAAAAGCTCAATTTTCCATTTAGTCATTTCCACCGCACAACTTGAGTAGGATTTTCCGGTAGTCTCCTGAAGTATCACCCTGGAAAGAAACCCAGAAAAAGAAAAGTTGAAGAACAACCAAAAGAGGTGAAGCCAGGGCTGAAGAACTAAGAACTTTCTTTCCAGGGATGATTTGGTTCTACTTTTACATAAATAAGCAGCAGAGTTTACATACACATAACCATGTGTCTGCATGCTCCATATTTGCTGACACCAGGTTTTGACTAAGTTCAATCCATTAAATGGGTATGGTCTGTTCTGTTTCTGAATGCCAGAACAAAAGAGAAGTGTGTGAGGGAAAGATGCACAGTTTTTCCACCAGTGTCTCACTGCTTTTCACTCATACACTGGTGGTTACAGGACATGCGACTATTGTTGTAGAAGCACATCTTCAGAGTTACACACTTGGGAAAAGCTCCTGCTGGGTAATCCTCTGTGGCAAATGGCAGCAACACCATACAGGTGCTGGCAAGCAAAGCAAGACATTTGGTACACACCTATTCCTTCAGAATCTTTGCAGGATTCTTTCCAAATGTCACCAAGTTACAGCCCCTCAGTGTCAAGTGCAGAAGGAATAAACAGGGGCTTAATAGATCTGGCATCCTCATTACAAGGTAAATAAAGGCAGCACCAGTCACCTTCCTCCAGCTTTTACTACTCTCCCATTGTCCAGGCACCCTCTTGACTGTTGCTACAGCTCTTAAGAGCAAAAGGATCAAGTGCTAAACAATCTGAAGTTTTGTCTATTTCCAAAATCTTGAATTTTCAAGAGAAAGAGAGGGCAATCCTCCACAAGACTTTTAGGAGCTTTACATTCTTTCAACACACATATGAAGTAAAGCACCATTGTTACTCAGTTGGAGGACTGAGTGGCTTCTATAAGAATTATATTCAGGACTGGGACAGAGACCAGACTTGAAACCAGGTCTTTGAAACCTCTCTGGACCAATTTCTCTTCCCTTCCTTATCTGTTAGTTTCCTTCCCATTTCTAGCTCACCTACCCCCACGCAAAAGCAAGTGCTGTCTGTTCCCTGGCATGTCAGACTCCACTCTCCTGAGGAATGCAGCAAGCCAACACAGCCAGCTACACTCAGAGCAGTTAACAGCTACTCAGTGTCAGTATCCCCCAGGAAGGATGGCACGGCAGGGAAGATAAAATCTGCAAGTCTTACAGTGATATCTGAGTAGAGGGATCTGCCGTACATCCGCTTGTATTCTGCACGTATGTCCAGCAGGTCAACCTCGCTGCGTGACACCATGATTCGGATCAGAGTCCTGTCTTTTGTTCCTGCTCCCTGAAACGAACAAAACATCACCTTAATGTATTAATGATGTGTCGAAATGCTGTATGAAACAGCACTAATAAAAATAAATTATCCCCCCAAAAATGCCTGTTTACTAGCATAACCCCACTGACTTCAGTAACCTTGAAAAGAATTTGGCCTGTCATGCTCCAACAAGTTAAATTTCATGGTAGGGCACTAGGTAATTTCTCTGCACAGGAACAGTTTGAAAAAAAAGAAGGGGACTGACAGTGGTACAAGGGGACAGGAAAATTTAGTGAGTTTAATGGCCTATTTATTTCTCCTAGACCTCCCTACTTATGAGATACCAATTTCAATCAGTTTTGAGCATACTTGTGTTTTACCAAGTGAAGACTTTGTTTTCTGTATGATTGTATTCATCTCTCTGTTAGGTGGATCAAATTAGCTAGATTTTTCCAGTCTTTCATAATAATGACTGCATCCTCTTAGTCATCTACCCACTAAAAAATGTAATCCCTTCAGATGAACAGTTGATTCCAATGAGCTGTACAAGAATTAAAAAAACCCCACAGTATAAGTTTATGTAACTTGTCACAGGCACCTACCTTCATAGCTTTCTGTAATCTCTCTGCAAAAAAAGCTGGTGTGTTCTTGAGACACTTAACTGCAAAAAGAAGCAGTATTACAGAAATCAGGCATTCCTCCTCAATCAGAACTCAGTAATTTTTTCAGTTTATCCTACATAGTCACCTGCTTTACTTTTACATAAACATACACTTGATACAATGCAGCTTCCACTCCTGCTGTTAGTCACTGAAATGTTTTTTAATCCAAACCATAGCTGCAGTTAAAAGTTAAAGAACTGACACTTCATGGCTCAAAGCAAGCTTTTCTGTCACTAGAAACCATCTAGTGTGAAGCAGCCACAATGAACCTTCAAAAGTCTAATCACCAGATTCTTGTTCATGAAGGAAAAAGTGGGAATAAGAAGGTGGCAGAAGACTTGAAGGAACACATAGCACTCCTAGCTTCTTAGTTCTGAATTTTCAAGCCATGCACGTGCAAAGTGTGGCAATTTGAGTGATGCCCTAATGTAACTTGGGTAGACAGCTACGATAGCAGAGAGTCTTAGGTGTTTCCTTCCCCTTAAGGGTGAGCTGTCATAACCCTAATTTTAAAGTTTTATTTTAGCCACCAACTTCATCAGGACTGAAAAATTCCTAACATGCTCATTTAGTAATGACTGGATTTTAGATTTAATTAGCACAGTTCATTAGAAGTCTGAAAGAGCAAAACCTAAATCAAATCACTGTCCTGTTAATCAGGATAATGAAAGAATCCTCCTTCTCTCATCAGAATTGAAATCTACACACTGGTGCAATGTTGGTTACAAGTAAACAATCATGCAATGTGTGGCAAACTATAGAAATAAACACAGACCACACTTGACATTTTATAGCACAGAAGGGTATCAAAATCAATCACACAAAATCAATACAGAACCAAAGGGGTAAACCTAAATATTATTTCATGGCAACACACATTCTATACAGGAAGAAGTACTTTTCTGAGTAGGAAAATGTAGATGAGAGATAGCAGCTCACCACACAATTGTCAATGATACATCTATTATTATTCAAAAATGAATGACAAAATGAAATGCAGATTTCTGTATCACTGTATTTAGTTAAAACAACACACTTGCACTTTAAGATGTTTAAAGATGTTATTGTTAGTTACCAGTTGTATAATCCAGAAAGCTTTAAAGAAAGCAAAATTAAATATTTTCAATTAGAAAACCTTTTTTTCCTGCAAATAAGGTTCACAGAACAAATGATATTAACATCATTGACTGATTTAGATATATGTGTATACACATATAAATAGAAAAAAATCCACAAAATCTATTCAATAAAGGGAATTATTCAGTGAATATTAATGACAAGCCTTGCTCTGAAGGCTACTGACTTGTTTGCAAGATACAGTCTCAGTTTTGAATCTATCTACATGGAGACCTGTCAAGTCACTGCAAAGCTCTATTAAGTCAAATGACTTCCAAACTCTGAGAATTAAGTTTCTTTACCAAGGCAATCTTTTTCTAAAAACACTGTGATATACCACTTTTCCCTAAGCTTGTTTTTCTAATAATACTTTCTGAGGCGACATATTTTGAATCCTGGAAAAGGTCTGCAAATGTATCAACACACAATGAGCCAGATCCAGTCTGGGCCATTAAAAGACCAGTATAGTGCCACTGTGGTAAGCAGAGTAAGAACAGTAGTTACACAGTTCAGATATGCACAAGAGAGGAGTGAAAAAAAATTAGGCTTTTAAAATCGATTCCCATTCTGCAAGATTTTGTTGCAAACTTCAATGAAAAAAATTGTGGTCTCCTAAACTCTCGTATCTCATTTGCAAGTGATGTGAAGTTCATTTTTCCTATTTTGGTAGGTGCTTTAGCGGGGGGTTATGTCTGGTTTTTGGTTTGTTTGGGTTTTTTGTTTGTTTGTTTTTTTCATTACATCACTATCATATTCAAAACCAAAGAAAAACACTTTTAAAGGAGGAGCTCTAGGTACCACAGTATGTTTACAGTAATAAACAGAAAACAAAATGGAGATGTAAAGACAAAGGATGAGAAATTGGCTCACAATTATATCTAAAATAAAACATCTCAGATAAAACTACCCCACAACAACTGCAGGCCTTGTCCCAACCTCATGGAAATCAATGATGAGCTCTGAAGGGACAACAGTAGATGTGAGGTAAGATTTTTCACTCCTCAGTACTGGAGACAATTAAAAACAAAGATTTAACAAATCTGTAAACACAGGAAATGTGAAAAAAAGTAACCCCTTTGCAATCAAATTTAAGTTTTCTTTCTATTAAAAACAGGCAGAGGTAACTAATTAGAGTCAATGCCTATATTTTGCTGGATTTCCAAGGCTGTCCCAAATACTCCATTCTCAGTAGTTGAAAATACCCTGACTCAGCAGTTGGTACAGGTTCTCTTCACTTCTTAAAACAGTGTCAAGTACAGTTAATAATTCTCTCCTCATTTTAACATGTGAAATTTAAATTCTGTAGTTGCCTGTGGCAAAAGCCTGACCTGTCATTTTGTGGTGAATTAAGTGCCCCGCTTCACCAACCACAACTGACTTCACAGAAAGCTCAACACGAAAAGCAGGAAACTGGAATTAGTACCAACAAGAACATCCTTATCTGAAGCCACAGATGCCATCTGAGCCAATTCAGTTGTAGCAGAACACCAGAAATGGATTTGCTAAGATGGCACATACCTACAGCCAGCATGCCCTTTTCCAGGTCTCCAGACATTTCACGACATATGCTTTTCTCAATGTCCCGGTTGCACATCCTCTGGTACTCATCGAAGACTGTTAATAGAAAAGAGAGCTTTCAGGAGTTAGCTTTGCAAAAATCGGTGGCACTGGTACATGCTGGATGGTTTAACTTTAAATCATGTTTCTCAGCTTGATATTATAATATACATAAGTTTTATCATCTCAAAGACTAATACTGTGCTATCAAGTATATTGTTCCATTTACACCTTATCTTGCTCCTTGTAGCTTGTCTAGTTTTGTCCTTAATGTTAAAGGGCTAGACCAGAAAACCACTGTAAGGGAAATAGTGAAAATTCTTCTAGGAAAGGCTTTGGGTGTCAATAAAATTAAGAAGAAAATATTCAGGTTCTCATACACACCCCTTTCCTCCATTCAAGCACCTCAATACCCCAACAGAACATATTAAAAGTTCTATGTAGTTACTAAAACATTCCCACCACTACAGACTGATGTAACACCTAATACTAACAAGTAAGAGAGGAAGGTTGCAAGTGTCTTCTGCACACACAAGTATGCAAAGTATACTTGTATACAAAGTATACTTGTATACAAGTATGCAAAGCTGAAACAACTCTAGTTTGTCAATTCTTTTGTCAGAGAAACATTTGAACAAGTATGACCTCTACCTGCTCTGATATTTAAGAAAGATGATTACAACGTGTAGCATTTGTTCACCCTTTTCAAAGCAGAATTCACTCAGTTTTTCATTGATATCTCATTGTGCTCACTTTACAGATAGGGGAAATTCAGGGGCAGAGCGGCGTTGTACATTTTCACCATTACACGCAACAGAATCAAGTTCCTGCTTATTTAGGACACCGTTACCTGCTCTGAGGTGGGCCCTGCTTCTTGCACACAGAATGGCATTGAACTTGGATTCATCAGTTCCTAGACGGTTCTCCCCAGCTGCATACAGCTCCTAAGCACAGAGGGAATTCACACTTCACTACTCAGAAACGTAGTCATGCTGAACAGCTGATTTACAGATTTGCTTCCTTACAGCCTCTCCACTTTTTATACTTATTTCTTAACTTACCTACTGCTGGAAAACAGGAGCAAGCAATAAACAGCGACTAATTTTAACTTGCCTATGATATGTTCTGCTTGCATTTCTATCTTGATGTTTAAGTGCTCAAACACAAGAGCGCCAGATTACTAAAGGAAGGGAAATTGTTTACAAAGTACCTGAAAATTGTTCTTCCTGGTAGTCCTTACATCTAGCTTTTTCTCTACACCTCTAGGTGTGTTCTGGGACATTCTTGTCTTTTGGCTAAGGCATACTATGAAGAAAGCTAATTACATTGCTCTTTAAGTGACAGTAGTATGCTAAAATGAACCAGTGTTTTCCCTTTGCTATGTGGGGAAATGGAGCATACAGAAAAAGTCACTGGGCAAGCATTACTAAGTCATTTGCTGCAAAAATCCAGAGTTCCTTAAATAACACACAAAAGCTAAAGTGGTTGTTAAATAAATTAAAATTTCATCTACACACATAGCACCTCAAATCTCTTCCGGCAATTTCCTTAATAAACAGCACAATGGCATCATAAAACACTTGGAAAAGCCAGAGAGCTGAGAGAATGGAAGAAAAATATCCTATGGACTCTATTCCCAAGAGCTTCATCTCTGTAATGCACCTACATGGCTCTAATGCTCCGTCAGGGCTTTTCATATCACTTCCATCCACTGAAACTTAAGCACTATAAGAGAAGTCACAAGGTGTCCAAAACTAAGAGTAAGCAGAAACCACACAGTCAAATTTCAGTGTTTTGAGTTCACTGTACTTAATAGTGATGAAGCATTTCTACTGACCTGCACATCTCTCTGGACAAGAGACATGTCAACAGTTGTACTCTCATCTCTGTTTCCCTGAAAGAATTAGAAGATTGAGAAGTGTTACTGATGGGTTTTAATGGGCTACTTTCAAATTAAAAAAACACCACCACCACCACCAAACAAACAAAACCAAAACAAAACCAACCAAACAAACAAACAGAAATCCCCCCACTTACAAACACACCCAAACCAAATTTCAAAATCCCAGCAGGTAAGTACCTGAGCAAGTGAAACTAAAAGCCTCTGGAAGTGTCCAGATGTGTCACTTTTTATTGCTTCCTCCAGGGTTTTCTTAAATTCTGGAAAAGAGATGAAATCATGAATCATCACATATCCCTGCTCATTTCCTAAATTCATATTATCAGTCAGTGATTAAGTAAGAAAAAAAAGAAAATTTGAATGGAACAAATCTAACCTGCTTTATAGACCCTGTTGAGTTCCTGAATATGCTCATTACTGCGAGAAGCTAAGATTTCAATGAGACAATTTTCATCTGTGCCAACACCCTAAAACAAAGCATGAGGAGAAAACAGATTTCAGATTTTCATCTTTTTTCTACAACCTAATATAAAAGAAATGTAATAAAATTATATAAAAAAAATTCAGAATATAACCTTGTATAGAAAAAGACAAAGCAAGTAATTTAAATATTACTTATGATGTTTCTAAGACACAGATATGCATTAAAGATACAAAATTGAACAGATAATTGAAATTAGGAAAACAAACTTTCATTTTAAAAATGTCATCCTTCATCCCATATTTAAGACATTTTAAGAATCCGTTTTTTTTACCATTAAAGAATAATTTGTTAATTCAACACGTAACTATCACTAACTAATAGACAGCAGTTGCAATTACAATACAGCTAATATTATTTCATCCTCACAGATAGTTTATTATTGTGACCAAAGATCACGTAAATATATGTACTGACCTTCATTCAAACATTGTCTTAAAATACAAACGTTTGACCTGGTTTTCTTTAAAAAAATCTAAACGTTTATAAAATAGTATTATTGCTATAAAGTACTCAAAACTTTATATTTTATATTTTACTCAAAACAAATATTTTAGAAAAGGCTCAGCATGCGATAGAAAAACACACTTTCGAGGTGGGAGAAAAGATAAAAAAAGGGTACACGCTGACCAAAATGTTTACGAACCTTATGTTCTGAACTATTCGTGAGTACCAAGTGTAAAGTCTCTGGAAACCCTTGAGTGAGTTTATAACCAGTTCTCTTACAGCTTTAAGAAAAATCCCAGAGATAAAGGTTCTCCATACAGTGGCTGGCTTAGAAGAGAGCTGCCTCAGTGCCTCACTCAAGACTATGTAAACAAGTGAACAGCACAGACTGTTAGAACTCGGTTTCTGTCTTTTTTGAGCATTTCTTCATTAATATATTTTTTGTTACAACACAAACCTATTTAATAAGTCTCTACCCTTAGCCTGAGGGAATAACATTTCTCCATTTTACTACCATATATCTCCAAGAAACGGAGTACAGAACAGTCAAACAGTGGGTTGAACATCCTGACAGAGAGGAGGGAAGGTAAGTCCAAGCTTTTAAATGGCAACCAAAGATTTTATCAGCTCAACTATTTCCTCTATCTTATAAATTTGTATCTCCTACACAAACCTTTATAGCTTCCTTGATTTCATAAGCATCAAACATCACAGGTGTCTTCATCATTGCCAAGATTGTCCTCTCAAAGTTACCTGATAGCTCAGACTTGAGATCCTTGATCAAATCCTAATGACAAGGAAAAACAAGGAAAAATACATAAAGACCAAACTTAACAAAAGTAAACATAAAAAATATGCATTTTTAATTAGAATTCTTTCTGCACAAGCACCAATAATGTATCTTTGAAGTAAAGCTGTTCCACTTAAGACTAAAACCAGAATAATGTAATATGTACACTGAGGTAATTAAGGTCCAATTAAATAGACTGCACAGATCAAAGAGCCAAAGTAACCATTTAAGAGAGAAATTGCTTTACATGTTTTATCTGAAACACTGCATGAAGAATCAAGAGTGGGTAAAAAGTAGCACCCTGAGCAGGCTATGGCTTACGAACCATCTTCCCCTAAAGCTCTTTCCAACCCTTTTTTCCAAACACTAAGCCCTCTGACTTCCACTGGAGAAATGCAGGCTCTTATTCCTTCTTCCTTCTGTTCTCATGATGTATTTACCTTTCCATAAGCTGTTTTGAAGGACAGCATTATCTGCTGCCGTTGCTTGTTCGAACGACTTCCAAGACAGTCAATAATGGCTTGCTCGTCGGTTCCTGCACGTGCACACAGACACCACAGAATGAGCACCACGTCATGTGAGGACTCAGTTTTCTGTTTCCATTTGATCCTAACTCTTCTAAACCCAGCTGAAGGACATGTACACCTTTAATTCATCTACAGTATCTACTCTTGTGTGCGGCCACAGAACTTTAAGCTCTATCCCCAATCAAACACAGTAAGAACAACAACAACAACAAAAAAAAAACAACTCAACAAAAAAGGAAACAAAACTCATTATGTTGTTTATGCCTAAATGAACTTCCAATAATTCTTCTGATAACCAAGGACAACGACATGAACTATCCCACTCAGTACATGCAGGACAATGGAGAAAGATCAGTGCTGAATCAAGCTGCAATTCTACTTTTAACTGAAATGTAATTCCACAGACTGCTCACCTAATCCCTTCATGGCCTTCCTTAAGACTTCTGCATCCTTCAGAGGGTCAAAACCTGGTGCATCAGTGATTGTGCCTCGGTTTCCATGCTAAAATGAGATTAAGTTGAGCTGCACATTAGCATTAAACAGTTAAATATGGTGTTTTACTACTTTGGAAAAATGCACACTGTTACCAATTTTCTTTTTGTTAGAAAAGTAATACAGAAAACTCAAATCAACCCTACCTAAAAAAAATTGCTCATTTCTAAACACAAAATAATGCAAGGTCAAGCAGGTTCACTGATATTAAATCCGTTGTCCATTAATTAAGGTTTGATGATACTGTACATACAACTGTCAATACTTTCATGAAGTTAGGAAAGGCAAGATTCATTACATCTGAATTCACTTTGAATCTTTCTTCTTGAATCATGTAGTAAAATACCATTTATTTCAAGTCATATACATCTATATTGTTCCATTTGAAAAGGTTCTCCCTCTCTTCACTCAAACTTCTTTTCATAACTTTATTTTCAATCTGAGGATTGGTTTACATTAATACAATGAAGAAAATGTAGAGAAATATATATATATATATATATATAAAGCAGTGAATGCTCTTACTGTTACAGGAGAGACTGCAGGCCCTGTAGATCCTGAGTAAGAGGGCATAGATGGATTCACAGCTGGACCTGGTGGATAATTTGGCACGGGCTGCTGCCCTGGGTAAGCTGCTGGTGGCTGTCCTGGGTAGCTCCCAGGCTGCTGACCAGGGGGTGGCGTGGGCTGGCCTGGGTATCCTGGGTAGGCTGGCATTCCTGATGGGGGATACCCCCCGTAGGAGGGCTGCTGCCCTGGTGGAGGTTGCCCAAAGCCACCTGGAGGGACTGGTGGATAACCTCCAGGTGCTGAAGGATACATGCCCTGTGGTGCGTTTCCTCCAAAGGTCCCTGCCAGGTTGGATGCCTGCAGTGACAGCCAATGCAGCAAGAGACAGAAAGAGGTACAAACAGCTGAGTGTCAGTAACGTGCTCAATACATACAACCTCCCCCCTCACCAACACAGACACTTCCACATCTGCAAAAGAACCTTGCACTAATCATGCCTTACTGGCAAGCAGCATGGAAAAAACCTGCCCGTGTTCAGTTGACTCTTGCTTTACTGCAACCATCAGCTGCCATGCATCAAGAAGCAGAGCCAGATACACAACTGCCACTGCATCCCACATCACTTCCACCAAAGCACACCCATGGCCACACACCTCTGATTCTAAAAACTTAAGCCAAATAATCCCAGCAACATGAAACTATGCTTAATCCTTCTCTGTCCATGGCTGCCTTGCACGATCACAGCATCCCCTGAGTGCAAGGGTCTTCCTCTGGGCAACCTTTGGCTGTTTTATGAGACACTTCATGTGTTAGTAGTTTACGACTTGAAGGATTTCACAAACTATATTTGGAGAGACTTCTGCAGAAACTGCCACAAAGATACATCACGTCAACATCATCTTCGTATGTGACACACTCAACCCCTCTTCTAAAGAGGGACCAGAACTGACATTAAGTGTCTGCAGTATTATCAGAAGCTAGTTGCTGTGGATATTGCCACCTGCACCCTAGATAGTTTGTTACTCATTCTGCCTTCTGGCTGCCAAATCACTTCATTTAATCACTGCCTCAGGAAGGCATCTATAATGCAAATGTCTTCCTACAAACTGCATTCGTTATGCAGCGTAACAGATTTCTGAAGACTAAAGTTGTCAGAAGTGTCACTCACTTCTCTTCTATGAAAAAAAATCACATTGGAAATGTCTGCATTTTCTTCAATCAATGTAAAAGGTTTTTACTTCCATCTGTTAAACATCAGTGCTTATAAGAGATAGTCAATCCTACACTCTTTTCAAGGATGAGTCATCGATACCTCCTTACTCTGACTGGGCAAAATCCAGGTAATAGGCAAAATCTGCACTGTGTTTGCCAATGTGAATATATTAACAAAGCATACTCTGTGTTAATAGTCTCTTTCCCTACTCCTCTACACAGCAAAAGCCAAGTTATACTAGTTTTATGTCCACGACTTTTGAAGCTAGACTAAATCAACATTTAACTAGTGCTCTGTTTTCCTAAAACAAGGAATAGCTTGCAGCTTCAAGAGATGATGCTGAATGTTCAACACCTAAGCAGACATAAAGGCACAGAATTGAAGTGATAAACTTTTCAGTGACAATGTCAGAAACACAACTTTCCACTTAAGGAAGTCACAGTAAAACACATTAAATGAAAGCAAACTCACCATTCCAGCCATCTGGTTGGGATTGAACTGGTTGGCATAGCCAGACACGTTTTCCAGACCAATTGGAGGTGGATTTGAAGGTGGATAGGCAGCACCACCCCAAGGACTGCTACCTGAAAACAAACACAGCTGTGCTGAAACAAGATACTATACCTTTTTAAACTTCTTACCACTTAAATTTCCAATGTAATATGTGTTCAACACTACAAGAAAATCAACTGAAGAGGTGCAGGGTAGCAGTGCAATTATTATATAAAGAGAAATCTCAGTGGATATTTCTAGTCATGTCCTAATCTGTAAGGTCTCATTTAAAACAACTATAAACCTATTTAGGGTTAATACTCAAGACGTAATACTATAAACACCATGTTTTTACTAGAGAGTAGTTTCACTTAAACTACAAAGTTGTCTAGGGTATTCTAGTAGGAAGACATTATTAATTCCACTGATGCTATTAATCTGAGAGATGTCCACACGAGCTTGTCCAAACTTGGCTGCACACAGCAGTATGGTCTAAATTAAGCTAGAATACTCTGCTGAGAAACAGAATTTATTCTCCCTGGTAGTGTGGCTTCTCAGGGTACATCACTTCCCCTTCCTGAGTTAGCTTGTCTAACTCCACCTTGGCCACTGCATGGCTCCAGTCCTTTCTACCAACAATACTAAAAACTGTAAAGTAAACCCTGATAACCAAGCAGTAGTTGCATATTTCATCAGCTTGGTATTATGATGATCACTACTCTTTTTAACAGCACTCTGCCTTTTACATGCAACCTAAGATTGCAATCTGCCTAAGAATAGTGAATTAAGGTCAAATTCTTTGTGAGATATGGTTTCAAGTAGTGTGACTGATTCCTCCCCATACTTGTTTTTCTCACCAGCTACCTTCACGACTCAGTACCAACAGATCCTTGGACACTTTCTGAATTTTTTCAAACTGTGACCATCTCCTAGTGCTGTGTGATTCATCTGAGATGAATGAAAATGGACTTTATATAAGCAGAGCACACATATTAGATAAATCAGAATCCCCAGCCCAGATGAAATAGGACTTAAGAAGAGCATACAGAAAGCTTTAGTGAGTCAAGAAAACACCCTGCAGTCTTGTTCTTCGTCCATGCCACCTTTTCTCTCCAGATGGGACCACCACTACCACTTGAAGTTTATTTCATCTAAGCAACTTACCTGGGGCTGCTGGTGGATATCCACCCACTGGGGGATAGCCCGGGTAACTCATTGCAAAGATCTGAAAAACATGTGTGACACAGTTATTTTCTGGAATGCTTCTCTCATTACACCACACACAATTAAGAGGCAATATGCATGCAGTAGCCAACTACCAAAATTAAGACATAAAACTGCCCACTTTGCCCAGGCTTCTCTCTGAGAAACCTCTTTACCAATTCCTTTTGCTGGACTAATAAACACGTTCAGATAGCTATGCAGTTGCAGAGTCACTCCTCAGACTACTTTTCTTATTTGTTCCAGTTGCTACTTACTGCTTACTTGGTCTATTCTATTGTTAAGGATATACTACGTGAACATGCTTCCTTTATTGAGCCATTAAAATCTCCAGAAGTTTGCAGCCTATACAGAACAGTCTGATAAATCAAGAGTAGAAAATCATTTGACAAACAAGCTACATCTCAAGTGAGTAACTGTGTAAGAAGTGTTAGAAGGCATCTAAATGCAGACATCTGCTGAAGTGCAAGGTCAGAGTAAGAAGCACAAGGGATACACCTTCATGCTTACAGCACTGTCATAAAATATGGAAGGTTTAGTGATAGGATAAGATCACTAGAACAAACTGGATCTCTCAAAATGCATAGTGCCTCTGTCAGCACAGAAGTGCACAGTCATTAGATGTTCAAAATAGAACTGGAGGTCAAAAAGGAAGAACAGTTAAATGAAGGACAAAATTAAAACTGTCTTCCAGAATACAAAGGCCTTATTTTCAACAAAACAACTCCCAGGCACAATGGTAAAAGTAACTCAAGGAGCCTGTTCCAGATGAAGAAAACATCCACACTGAATCTTCACTTTTTAGAGGTTATTTTTAGTGACAATTCCTATTGTCTATTTTTAGAACTGCTGGGCAAACTATCCCTTTCTTCTGTTTTCCCTCTTTCCCCTAAAGCATTACCTTTTGCATCTGGCTTGTTTTGCCATGTTTTGGATTTCAGCTGTGGAGTTTTGTTTTGGATTTGGTTTGGGGGAGTAGTGCTGCTCTTGTGGAATTGTTTTCATTTTGCATAATCATGTTAACTTCCCTTTCTGTTTTTGCATGGCTCTTTTGCACAGCAACAGTGGAATGGAAAAATATACTTTTTTTTTTTTTTTTAAGTAAAGAAAATACAATTAGGGAATCTTCACTTTATTTAAAAACTGTTTGGACTTCATGCTGCATGCACTAATTTAAATTTAAAGAGAGAGAAATTAACTAAGAGAAACTGCAATGAGCAGAGGAGACCAAAAGTTATAACCCTATTTTACCTACTCCAGTATGTAAAGTGTCTAACAGACTCAATAAGCAAATACAGCTTCTCAGGAGGTACAGGTGTACAGGACTGGAAAGAGGTCAGAAGAAAAAAGGATTAAAAAAAAAAATCAAGAGAAGGCAGCCTGGCACTTCAGATCCTCTCTAACTCAGTAACAGTCTTGACATAATAAAGCATAAAAAATAAAAAAGGACAATTATTACCAAGTCACTCAAAAAACAAACAAGAACCCCACACACAACCTAGATTCTTAGCATGCATAATGTCAATGTGTACATTTTTAGATACAAATTATTATAGCACTGAAATGAATTTTATTTCTTTGGGGGGCAACCATAATTATTTTCTTAGTTATTTTTTTAGCTTCACATGCAAATACAATAATGATAGGATATTAAAAAAAATTTTAAGATGCCTTTTGAATAAAGCTTTAGATACAGATTTAAGGCAAAAGGTTGGTTTGTTTGTTTGTTTTGTGGTAGAGGGTGGCATAGGCCTTGTTTTTCTTAGAAGGGTTGTTTGCTTGCTTTTAATCCTATGTAGAACGTTCATTTTAAATTGAAAAAAAAAGATTAAAAGAGCCTTTTGGCAATTAAAGCTGAGGTTGAGAAGTAATGGTTAGTTTCATTAGCAATCTGAAAAAAAATGTTACTCTCTCTCTAAAAATGTTCCACTTGCTTCTTTCAAACACTGAATTTATCCAGGACCTTTCCAAGGGAAAATTTTCCCAGACTGGTCTGATTCCAGGCAAACTAGATCCACAAAGACACTGACTTCTCATGTTCACAAACTTCCCTGATGACCACCTTTTCCGTAGCTCACCGAGTCTCTGTTGGCCAACACTCTAGCTTAAGAAATATTAACATAGAAAGATAAGTTTCCCAACCATTCCCACAACATTGTCTCCATTTCATCTTCTAATCCCATCTTCCAAACTTTCTGCTGGCTAAATCCACAAAATCTTACCAAAACTGTTAGTGACGAGCAGCACTTGGCTGCTGACAACAAAGTGGTGACACAGGCCAGGAAACAGAAGATACAGAAATCCACCCTGCTACACAAATAGTGTGTGGGAGGATGCAGGAACAGCAAGGTCTGTGTTTGCTCAGTCATTAAAAAAGTAGTGCATATGAGGAGGAAAAAGTCCAAACAACCAAACCACACATGGAAAGAAGGAGTGCCCTGAAGGAAATACAGAACAAATACTGTTAAGGTCCTCTCCCCATTTCCAGTTCAGTCCTGGAGGTCGACCTCAGGACTCTAAATAAAGACCTGAGGTTTTACTCCCACAGTGAACATTGATGCATTGATGGCTATCACTGCAAGCCATGAAGTGCTCAGGCTCTTGAGCATTTTCCTACTGCTTGGCAAAAGTAAGAGGAAACAGACCTGTTCGTAAGAGATTAAATCTGTAATATACTTTCAATGGGAATTTTGAAAATATGCTTCTCTAAGACACGGCACAGTAGAAAAAGGACTACAACTGGAGAAATTTTTAACAGAAATACAAATTACACGTAATGATGGCAGAAGCAAAGAATAAAATTGTAAGGCTGCCAGAAAACTTCTGTTTCAAGGTACAACAGAAATAAGCTCAGCAACTGCACTCACGCCCATTGCTGGAATTTATTTAGTGGCTGCTGTTCAGGCTCCAGCTATGCCAAGGTTCAAATAATTTGAGGACAAAAAGCGGATGAAAAACCATGACCTTTATTTGTCAAAAATAATTAGTTTAATTATGCCCATTTCACAGGGAACATCGAGTAAAGCGAAACCCTTGGCCTTTACTCCTCCACAAGGTTAATTACCAGGATACAGTAGAAAAGGCAGCCTACAGCTATAAATTACAGTGCCTGCTCCAAGACTGATCCCTGATTGTGAAATCAGCAGAACAGAGTTTATCACCTTACAATATGCTGTCGTTTTTCATCAGATATGAACCGAGGCACACACCACTGTGCTTTTGCAAGACAAGGACAAGCCACAGTCAGCATCATACCAGCTAACTGCTATTTCATGAGCCTGAGCAAGATTTATCTTTGACTCATGCACTGCAGCATACAAGTTGTTCTCTCTTGTACCAGGTGAAATATTTTTCATCCCGACAGATAAAGGGCCCTGCAATTTTCATTTCTCATTAAGTCTTCTGTGTATGTGACTCCCTGTCTATCCTTCCTTTCACTATCAAAAAAAAAGTTATTTAGTAGAATGGGTTCCTCTTCCAACAGGGCTGAGTTCATGCCACCCAGGAAACCTCTTTTACACAGATCTTATCACTCGTCGTTCACCTTTACTGGACTTCATCCAAGAACATATATTTAAAGAGTACTAACATATCATCCACTTCCTATAGGAAAAGTTTCCTCAAAAAGAAAAAAAAGCAAACCAGCTCTGAATAGATGGCAAAACAGAAACAAATTCAAGTAAGGGTTTTTTTTTTTTAAACTGTCCATTTCAATTGCTTGTTAGTGTTGCAACTCAGGAGCACTGCCAGTTTCAATGATCCTTCTAATTCACGTCATCATAATCACTACTATTACAGAAATACTTTATTGGAAGATAATCTAGCACTTTTTGACCTGCTGGCATAAGCAGGGAACAGGAAAGAGCATCAGAAAACAGCACTAGCAAAAACTTAGTCAAAGTAAAGGAGAGCAGTTGCCAGTCCAACAAAGAAAAGCTGTATGCGAAGACAGACACATAAACCACAACCAAGCTACAAAAATGTTAAATAAGAACACTCATGCAACCTTTTCAGTGACAGAAGTCCTACACATATGCTCAAGGCAACAAAACCCAAGGAACCTAATCGAGTTGCAAGGACTTTCAATATCCATGTGCAGCAAAAACATGAGTTAATTCCAAGAGAGTGATTTCACTCTGGCTTCCTACTCTGCCCTGATCCAAGTGTTTCCTTTTGCAGCACACTCCTGCAATACTGCTCTTGGAATATTTACAATACAAGTAAAAAAAATATATGACAACACAAATATACTCTCCAAACAATACAAGAAGCAAGAAATAATACCAAATTAAGTTTATGAAATGTTTTAAGAAATAAGGGAATGAGATTGTTCTATTTCAAACTCATAACTTGTCATAGAAATAATTTGTTGCAAAAACCAGTCATGCTATAAATAGTCTGAATTATGCTTCCAATTGACTAACGCCTCAGGGATTTATGCTCTATTTTAAGTTACACCATGCCAGAACAAATTTTTACATCATTTGTGCAAGTCAGAATAGGTACATACCAATTACTGTGTGAACTAAAGCAGCAGTGTAACATTCAATTCGCTAAAACAATTACTAGAAAAACACCTGATTGTTCATCTCACACCAAAGATTTTTAATTAGTTGCTGTGCCCAAGCCTGAATCACAGAGCCAGGGAGTAGCCCCACTGCAAAAGCAGGAGGGGCTTCAGCGTTCCCCAGCCCTGCGAGGCAGCAGAACAAAAGGACAACAAAAGTCCTCTGACAATACTTGCCATATTTACGCTGTTTGGGCTGCAAAGAAGAAGCCAAATAACAGTAAGCTGTCTGAGTGACGACTCCCAAAGACAGGCACACTGGCAGGATCTGCACAGGACCTTAGCTAAAGGCTGTATGGATGCACCATACCCTGCGCACAAAACCTCCACGCCCCACACCAGGCTGACAGACTCGGGATGCCACAGATGAAAAAGAGGTAAATACGAGTGTGCAAATACATCAACTTTTTCTTAAAGGCGATGGCTTTCATGCTTTCTAGACAAGGAAGGCTTACACACGCAGCTGTCCAGCAACACCAGGAAGATTACTACTCATCAGTGAGCAAATGGACACGCCCCGGTTCATTTCACACTATAAGGAATTACTGATTTACAGCTCATTAATTCTTTCCAGGAACAGACTTATTCAAGAAAAAACCAATTTAGGGTAGTAAAAGAGAAAGACAGGTATTTCACAACAACCATAAGCAAGCAATGTGAAAAGAAAGCAAGACAATGGCCTTCAAACCCAGTCTGTACTTGAGATCAGCATGCTTTGGGCCTCAAAGCGTACTACTGAAAAATAAGTATTTCCCTCTAAGTCCTAACATTTGTAAGATGCATTTATTCTCCTAGGTAGTAGAAAACCGAGTATTTTTAAAACACTGCCGAGTACAGCCAATAACCAGTTACTCAGAATATAGAGGGGTGCACTGATTACACAGTAAGTGCAATGTTCCAAGTCTAAAGTTGTTATCTCTAGCAACAATAACAGGGATATTCGTGCTATCTGCTTCAGGTAACTTGAACACCTAATCTGGAGCAATTAGCAAGCCCATAGTTCGAAACTAATATGCTTTTTTACCCAAGGCAAAGGTCTTTGGGATGCAGAAATTAATCACAGCGAGTATCACTTCACATGCATGTTGACTGTATGTCTACAGTAAAGTTTTAGCACAAACAGAGGCCTTCAGAAGCTTTAAAACTCATTTAGATTTTTAATATGGGATTGGCTTGTTTGAGAGTTCTTAAGACTGCCAGAAGTTAAGATCCAAAAGCCTGAATTAGATGCTCACCTCTCCTACAGATAAACTGAATGAATGACTGCAAAAAAGAAAGGAAGTGGTGAAGTCCTGTGCTTCCTCAAGAGAACAATTGAGCTAAAGAACTGAATGACCTATCAGTGACACTTCCCTAATGCCCTTAAAAAATCCCACCACCCACACTTTGTACCAAAACAAAACAAACAAACAAACAAACAAAACACAACAAAAAACCAAACCACTTTTAACCTTCCTTTAAGACAGTATCTCCTCTCTCCATCAGAGAAACCATGAGGGGAAAAAAGGAGCCAGTATCTGGCAGGGACTTAGTTCCCTTTCTTTGTGTATCTTAGAAAAGAACGTTTCGGACAGCACTGACACTCTGCACTGTACAGGTAGTGGGGCTGTGTTTGTTTTATTCAGTCTAACTTTATACAATCTAGTCACTAGCCTGGTCCACATTCAGCACCTATGACAGTTGAACAGTACGGATACAATTTCACACATACAAACAAAAAAACAGCTGTTAAGCACAGGCAGGATTGGTGGCTTGGTCATCACAAGCACATAATAAAAACTGTGTCCTACATGGACACCAGTGAGTCCCTACCTACTCTGACCCATAAGTAACTCCAGGCTTGCCCCACCCAGGATCTAACCTCTTATCAAGATTATGCAGTGAGCTCTGATAAAATCTGGAACAAACACGGAGCAACAATAGAAGCTCTATTGTTATTGCTGTCCTTTGATTTGCTTATCTATGACTTTTACCACTGCATTACATTCTTCCCAGCTTGGGCTGGAAAGGAAGCCTGAAGTAAATTCAGCATTTACATCAGACACACCTGCTTTCAAATAAACTGGCAAAACCAAAGGGACGACCTTCCCTTCTGTGCGTGACAACAACTCCAGTTTTAAACAGATGAAAGTGTTGCTCACCGAGGGGTAAACATGCAGCTTTTTCTCTTTTTTTTCCTCCAAAAAAGTCTTTTACCACATTCCTCAAGAGAAACTCAAAAGTCGCTACATACAGCTAATGAGTCTCTGTCCTTATTTCCAACAGTTTACATAATACATTTTTAAAATATATCCAATAAGAAACATGTTTTAAGGTAGTTGACATAAATGTATGAAATAAAAAAAGAAATTACACTGGTGCCATTATTCAGTTGTATATTTAATGTAATGGAAGCCTTTAACTGCAATTTGAATCTGACAGGAAAGTTTCTATAGATGATTATACAGAGCCTTTGCTAAATATAAATGAAACTTTCAAATTGTTCAAAAGCCCTGCTATTTCTGTAGCCACAATTAAACCATCTGCTGTTTTCAATTACAACTCTGCTTTAACTTCAGCTTCCTTTTTTTATCCGCAGATCTCTATCACAGAACGAGAACTACATAAGCTCTGATTAATGCAATATTACTGAACAGACTCTATGGAAGCTCCATCTTTTGAAACTTGCTGGAGGTCTAGGAAACACATCTCCTGTTAACTTCAAAGCAGACAGACTTCTCGGCTTGAATTTTTGTAGTAGATCAATTTCAGTATTTTAAGTTGTTACCTAACACTACATCTTTACAATGTTTTTTTTCGCATGCATAAAGGCCCCCCTGAAGTATATTCATCCCACTGCTGGTTTCATTATATCTTTTAGTGACTTTTGACATTTCACAGAACTTCCAGTCTAATGAGTCAAAACTTCTGGGGACTATAGAGAACAAACTAAAGAAGAGACAAAGCATATGAATGAATGTGATGGCTCCTCCAGAAACTGTAAGTACAGATTCATAGAGACATTTTGGCCTCTGACCTCATAAGGTACCTACTGAGGTATGAGGTCAGACAAGAGAAAGATGCATAAATATTGTTGACATAAAATCTTTACGCCCTTCAAAATCTTGCTGAATCTTTATGGTATTCTATACAACAAATTCTCCCAGTGCTTTGGGAGCGCGGGGAGGAAAGTCACAAGAAGTAGCTACAGAAGCACTTTCAGGAAGAAAAAAATTCAACAGAAATACAGTGGAACAGGGCCACAGGTGAAACGGGAAGCAATGCTCAGTGCAAATTATCCTGCTGCATCAGTGGGAGGAGAGTGGTCCACATGACTGTCACAGCAGCTTGAAAAACAGGAAATTATAGAAATAGCCAAGCTATAGGGAAGCATTTTACAGCAAGCCATACACTCACACTAGTTTTGCACCGTTTCTGATGTTACCACGAGTACTCCAGTAAAGCACTGACTCACTCAACAGAAAATAACTGTGCTGGGGGTTGTCAAGAGAATAAACCTCCCACCTGCTATGGTGGCCAGGCGTTTAGATGCATAAATCCTAATAACCAGCTCCTTCATCAAACACACTGCACCAGCACTTTTCTTCTCTCTGTTTTCTCTCCACACCTTTAGCTCAGTCTTTCTGCCCCAGTGCATCTGGCTCCGTTTTAGGCTGAGCTGCCTTACGTGCTTCTGCCACTCCCTCTAGAACGCTGCCCCTCAGCTGTCCCTCCTTATCAGGAAGCAGCTTCCAGGAACTACCATTAATCTATGAAAAAAAGGAAGACATACCCCACGAAAATATTCCCTTACTGCCCAGAAACAGGATGGGGACAGAGAGGAACTTCACCTTTCTTCAAGATGTTTGTGTGCTTTTCTGTTGCACACACGTAGCAGGAGTTGAAGAGTTTTGGTTTTAAGACGCTTAAGTGTCTTGAAAGCACTCTAAGCACATGTCGTATAAGAAGTAGTAAAGTACAAGAGGTAGTAAAGTTCTACAGTTTGCAGAATGGGACCTTTGGGGGAGGGGGGAGAAATTAAAAAAATAAAAAAAGGCATTGCGTAATATCCAGCCTACCATCTTAGGCTGCTTTCTAACTGTACACATCAAAATTACTAGCTCGAGATAAGATACGGGCACAGGCAAAGTACCGAACTGCAGCCACAACAGCAAAACACCCCTTCTTCCTCCGAAACCACCCCATTTCCCTGGGAAACACGAGTCGTCTCCCACCAACCGCGGAGCTCCAGCACGCCCCGACGGCCCCTGAGCCAGCCCCGGCTCCTGCCGCCCCAAGGTCCCCGTCCCTGCGGGGACACCGCACGGCCCCGCACACACGGGGGGCTGTCCCTCGCCCCCTGTCCCCTCCCGGCCCGGAGGTCGGCACCTACCGCGGGTTCTCGGGATCGCTGCGGCCGCCGCCCGTCCCGGCTGCTCGCTGGCACTGCGGGGCGGGGCCGGCAGCGACAGGAGGAGGAGGAGGAGGAGCCGCAGCGGCCTCGGCTCCTTCGCCCTCCCCGCCGCGGGGCGAGGGCGGGCGGTGCGGAACCTGCCGGGGAGGCGCCCGGCACGGGCCGCGGCTGGAAACTGGAAACACAGCAGAGCAGGTCGGAGAGGGGCCCGTTTGATAAGAAACAAAACACACGGGGGAGGGTTGGTGGGGAAAGGAGCTCCACCCGTCCCGTGGGCATCCTGGGCATTCCCTGAGGGCACAGCGTAGCCGGAGGGACCAGGTGACACGGCTGAAACCAAGGACGCTACGGTTCAAGTCAAGGTTGCAACATCGCATTTAAACCCAAAACCGGACCGTTCTCACCAGGAATTCATAAGACCTTTCAGAAAACATGCTTTCCAGGCAGGGTGGGACAGAAACCCCCGTTTTGTCATATGTTATCTACGCGTTCCTTGAGTAAAATTCTACCAAAAAAATTAGAGGAAGGAGATCGTTCATGTTGACCTTTTCTAGTACAAGCAGTGCTAGCTAAAGGCTTCAATAAACATCTTTTTTTTCCTACATGCATTCTTTCAAGATGAGTGAAGTTGCTCACATGGAAGCATTTAGAGGGACAAAACAAAATAAGAAAAAGGAAAAAGAAAAAGGACTAACATTTTCCAACTACATTTTGCTTGCCAAGACACTAATCAAAATAGCAAGCACAGCATTATCTGACTGAATCAGAGCATTATACAACTGGGGTGGGGAATGAACTTGTCCTTGCAGCTGGGATTTTTGCAAACAGGGTCCAGAACCTCCTTTTCAACACTTGCTTCCTTAATACGTATGCGTTCTAACAGGTGATTTCATTTAGAATGAAACTAATTTGGATAGATGCGTTCAAGCTTCTCAAAGCATACCTGCTGTTCAACCACTTCATATAGTGAGTGTGACCCCATGTGGTACAGAATATCCCTTGGGTCAGTTGCAGTCAGCTAAACCATGACCCCTCCCAGCTCCTTGTGCACCCCAAGCCTCCTCGGTGGTGGAGTGGGGTGAGAAGCAGAAGAGGCCTCGGCTCTATGTAAGAGCTGCTCAGCAAAAACAAAAATATCTCTGTATTATCAGTGTGTTCAGCACAAATCCAAAACACAGCCCCATACTAGCCACTGTGAAGAAAGAATGTAAACTCCACCTCAGACAAAACCAGCACATCGGCTTTTTGTGGTTTAGCACGAATTATGATGTTATACCCAGATTATTTTAAGCTTTACTGATCTAAATACATTTCTGATTAATAGGCAAAGCTAAACATCGACATAGGTTTTGATGCAGATGGAAAAATGAAGACGTGCCCACAAAGCAGCTCACATCGAATGAAGGCCAGGGATCTTTGTCCTCGCAATATGCTGGTATTGCTTCTCTTGGGAGTTAACTCCTCTCACTTGTGTTAGCCAAAAGAGGCCACATGAGCTGTAACAGAAGAGTTCTGTTAACCAGAGTAATTTTGACTGAAACAGGTTAGGAGCCATTCAGGGGAGCTGCTACTCCCATTGGATGAGGACACTGTGACCCTACACAAAGGGTTCCTTCTTCTTCCAGCAGGATAAGAAAAAAAAAAACAAACCTGTATTTCTGCAAGTTCAGTACTGCTATTTTTTCATGTAGAAAAGCCCTTTGAGTATCATGCCTAGGCTGAAAGGGATGTATGAAGAAGCTTGTACTGCTGCAACTAGCCTGGTATTCGTTCCAGACCAGGTTGTGCTCGCTTTGAAGTCAATTGCCATGTTCCATGGATTTAACCAAGGTCCAGATTTGGCTTACTTCTATGAATCCCTCCATTTATCCAGCCTCAGTGACTGGAAGTCCCACACTTTTGATGCTGCATTCATAAATGGAAAACTGGACTAGCTATGGCAGCATATGGAATATTCTTCTGACAAGGGAACCAGTGTACGTAAACCTCATTACCTGTCATTTTTAGACAGTCAGGGAATGAGGCATTTGCTTAATGTATTTTATTTTTGAAAATTTTTCCACAGGAATGATAACCTCCTAGCCCACGCTTTTTGGGAACTTTGGCTTGAGCAAATCCCTCTCCCTGCAAAATTTGTTATGGGCAGCATAAAGCCCACTTCTGCTCATCTTCAGCAGCATTACATTGGATACTCCCACAGAGACATTCACGGAATAGTTGCTGCCAAAAAGGGACAAGGTCACCCTCTCCTTTCCACTGTTCACTTCCAGCCAGGCTTTCTTTGACCCTATTAGATCAGCTTAACTGTATCGTGGTTTCCTACCAGCAGGGTAGATCTAGGAGCCTTAATGTTTCTGAGTAGGGCTGTCCTCTATGTCTTTGTAACACATTTAATCTCAAAAGTACATTAGAACAGTTTACTGGTGAGATAAATATTAAATCACAATTGGACTGACTACTTCTCTAGAGCATAATGTAACTGCAGGCACTTTCCTTAAGAGTTTACAAGAGGAGAAGTGCAGAAATGTGCAGTATAACATACAGTGTTACATGTATTTATATCTATATTGTATACATACCTTTTAAGACTGGTTTTCAATCAGTTCAGTTTAGGAATCCTAAACCCAGCCTGGAAGTGGAACCACTGCAGCACAGAGTTCCTAACGTAATTGTGGCAGCCATGCTGTGCAGCTAATACAGAGAGGAAAACAAGGATATTTTTCACCAGTTAAAGTTACAAGAAGCCTACCAGCAAGTTTTAATACCCTTTTAATTTTTTTCAGCCTTTTGAGGTTCAATATTTAAACTGGCATTTAACCACAATAGAAGACCCAAACCTCACGTGCCATGCAATTGAACAGAGGTTTATTTTTACTGATATTAGAAACTGTCACTGTATTAGGATTTCAAATCAAATGCATGTGGACAGTGATGCCACAATCAGGATAAGACAGCAGAAATGAGTCCTAGAACCCTTGGTGTTGGGATAGGTGAGAGCTGGCATGTCATCTCAAGCACAAGCATAGTCATAGTGACATTGTGCTGATATTGGCTCAGTACCAATTCAAACAGAGAAGACTTTGTGGGAGAACCCACAAAAATCACAGCAGCATTTCCTGCGAGCACTGCATTTTCCTAGTGCCCCTTCCAAACTTTAGTTCCAACCTTGTACATTTCCAAGTGGATTTGTGCCATAACAGGACACAAACCAGAACAGAGCGATGGAAACTAGTACAATAACCAACATCAACACTCCCGATTTCACAGACACTCTCTTCCCTTTTTCCATATTAATTTTACAGTATTTCATTTCCACTGCTAAAATATTCCACTGGTAAAAACTCAAAAAAACCCCAAAACTCAAGAAAAAACAATCTGAGTGTTTACACATAAAAGCAAGAAGAAAATACAAAAGAAAAAATAAAATAAAATTTGCAAGAATTATAATGCTGTCTTTCAGGCAACCTAGGACTGCTGAGTACCAGCCAGCCAGCCTGTGGTGTATTTTTGGGAGTTCTAGCCTGGAATCTGAATGGTCCAGATTACCCTCAATCGGTGTTACGCTCCTGAGAAAATTCTACTGCTTAAAATCCATTGCTTGGAGGCAAGCTTAGCTGAACTGACTTCTGCAGTCCCTGGTGCATTGGTGTTGCAACGGGAGACTGCAATGTTTAATGTCTCTGCATTGCCACTAGTCTGGAATAAAGGTGATAGAACTTGTGGTGGACTGTACAGGCTGCGTTATCAAAGGGCATCTACCTTAGGTTTGTGTAGGTCTTCAGCCTACAAGATTTATGCTGAAATAATTTGCTTGCACTTATCTTGCATTTTCCCCAAAACAATCATGCTGTGAGCTTTGATCTCTGAGTCTGTCAATCTGAGCACCTTCCATTATTACTGAAAGCATTCACATTAAGATAAGAATGAATTCTACTTTCCAGGCTGTGCAAGTTATGGAGTGTTGAGCATGCATTTGTATGTAAACAATTACCCTTCACATGCAGCAGAATATAGCCTTGAAATAAACATTTTCATCAAGGAATAGCAGATGGGAGTGCTTTAGTTTCTATTTTGTATTAACAGAAACTTGTCATTAAACCCTTACAGTATTACAATTGGACAGCTCTGTGTTTTACTGCTTGGTGGGCATAACCCAGCTTACTTTGGTGGGCTGATACTTTGCCACACACACTCAGAGTAAGTCACTAGTTCAGCCTTTTAGAAGTCAGATGTTCTATCATTTGTTTAGATTTTCTGCTTTGAGTTGTATCTTGTGTAAAACTGAATTCTGAACTCTAATTAACATTTAATTTTAAGTAGTAGAGTTAGCCAACAGGAAAAGGAACTCACAGAAACCAACTGAGCTGGCCCTGGCACACACTCTCCACCTACACCTGCAGAGTTCAAGCTCCCAATATGGGGAAATAGATAAATATTTGCTTGCCTTTTAAAGTACATCTGAATGCAATTCAGTTGCGTGACTGGGAACCCCATCTGAATGGGTTCTAGATGAGCCATTTATTCTTATGTGTCAATTGTGGCCGTTTGTAATAACATTCTGAACTGTTTGCTTCATCATTGTAAATGACTTTCCAGCCCCACAAAGTTTCTGGGTGGAGCTTTATATGACATAAGCACACATGCCTACCTTTTTTTTTTTTTTATCTTCCATCTCCAGGAAGTAGAGAGTGAAGCAGTTTGGGCAGTCCAACACTCAGCAGAATCAAAGAGTTTTCAAATTAGGTCAATAGTTGAGCAGATGATTTCTCTTGGGCAGAAGAAGGGCAAGGTTCTCTGATAAATTCACAGGAAGCTAAAGAGATTTACCCAACCATATATTGTATTTCAACAGCATGTTTCAAAATTTGCATTTTCAGCTGAAGAATATTTGGCTTGCAGCAGAATTTCTGCAAAAATATAAGTCAAATTTGAATAAAGACAGTTTTTCTAGCACTTCCTATACTCTATATTATAGTCTGCACAAGGCAGCGGGGTTGTTCTGGGCTGGCAGCAGGTAACTCCAGTGATTACAACATCTACGGTTTAGATGTT